TAATGATAAACATAGTGGCTCAAACATTTTCACCAAACCACCACTATTAAATCATTATACAAGCATACGCCAAGTGTTTGACAAAATTCCTATCAAATTTATAAATTCATTGGAAATACTGTTTTATGATAAGTGCATTGAAACGTCAAGATTTCTGAGTTGTACATTCATCCATTTCATTTAATAAAAATCCAGCAAAGTTTTCACATGTCAAGTTTTCTAGTAGTCGGTTCAAAGTAGACGGAATTGATTCAGGACATTGATTTTCGCTGCTTTCAACTCGCTTTGATAAAACAATTTTAAATCCTTGAAAAAGTAAGAGGTGATCTATTCATCCCCCCCCCCCCCCCTCTCGATCACTTGCCACACCGTCTAACAATTATTTTTTCATTATTTAGAGGTTTCTTTCTCTTATATGTAACATCGGGTCGGGAACGCTTGATTGAATTTTATATTCTGTTATATTGACATATTTTATAAGGATTATTGATGTTGAACTAATTTTAAATCCCTATTTTGATGAGACTAAATATTATGAGTTGACAATTGAGAATATTATTTTGATGATAATTCTGTTGCGTTTTTTTTAAAAGATGTGTTGATTTTGCATGGAACACCATAAAGGTGTGTATTATATAAGAAGTTGTTATTACCATTGTTTTAACCCGTGTTACAGAGAAGGATTGTTTTATGATGTTTTATAAGAAGTGTGACACTATTGTGTTATGTTTTTTACTTGACTTATTTCGTAAATTATATAAGAAATACATGTGAAATTAGAATGGTGTTACATTAGTGGTATCAAAGTGGCGATTTACTCGAAAGAGCAGATGGTGAAATTTGGTGCTCACATGTTGGAAGAGGAAGTTGAAGAATGGTGGAGGAACGCATGCCATAGGATGGAAACTTTGAGCACAGAGATCACTTGGGCTGTATTCATAGTTGATTTTCTAGAGAAGTACTTTCCTGAGGATGGGCGTGGTAATAAAGAGATCAAATTCCTTGAGCTGAAACAAGGGAGTTCAACTGTTGCTTAGTATGCTGCTAGGTTTGAGGATATAGTGAAGTATTGTCCACATTATAACAATCTGGCAGTTGAAGTGTCTAAGTGCATCAAGTTTGAGAATGGATTACATCTAGAGATCAAGCAGGATATTAGGTATCTTGAGATTCCCTAGTTTCCTATGTTGATGAACAAGTGCAGGATCTTTGCTCAAGATAGTAGAGACAAAGTTTATTATTGTAAGAGTTTAAGTGATGAGAAATGGAGAAATCAGGACCGTGGAAGATCATATAGTGCTTCAGCTGATAAAGGGAAGCAAAAATTTCCTGATGAAAAGAAGCCAAGTGGGGGAGGAGCTCCTTCTTCTATCAAGTGCTTTAAGTGTGGCGAGCAGGGCCATCATGCTAATGATTGCAACAATAAGGTTATGAGATGTTACAAATGTGGTAAGACAGGTCAACATGCTTCTGATTGCAAGAATGAAGGACCGACTTGTTTCAACTATGGTGAACAAGGTCACATCAGTACCCAGTGTCAGAAATCAAAGAAGAATGCTGCTACTACTTCCCAAACTAATGTCAAAGTGTTTGCTTTGAATGGTTCAGAGATGACCAAGAAGGATAACTTGATTCGAGGTAATTTTTTTATTAACAATGTTGAGTTGATTGCTATTATTGGTATTGGTGCTACTCATTTGTTTATTTAGCTTGAGTATGTTACTATGAGATTGAAATTGTCTTCTATGAATGGTAGTATAGTAATATATACTCCTGCTAATGGTTTTGTTACTACTACTTTTGTCTGTTCGGGTTTTCCTTTAACTATCTTTGGTAAGAGTTTTGTGATGGATTTAGTGTGTCCACCCTTGTACCAAATTGATGTTATTCTTGGAATGAATTGATTGGAGTTCAACTATATTCATATCAATTATTACAACAAGACCGTTAGGTTTCCCGAGTTTGCAGACAATGGAGAGTTGATGTTTTTAATCTGCTAAGCAACTAGAGGAACTTTTAAATGATGAGGCACAAATGTTTGCAATGTTTGCATCATTGCAAGTTGATCATGAAGCTGCAAGGGTCGAATTACCTGTTTTCGTGAATTTCCATATGTGTTTCTAGATGACAATAGTGACTTACCTCCAAAGCGTGAAGTAGAGTTTGCCATAGAGATTAGTACCAGGTACGAGTATGGTGTCAGTGGCTCCTTATAGGATGTCAGCATCTGAATTGGTTGAATTGAAGAAATAGTTGAAAGAATTACTTGAGATAAAGTTTGTTTGACCGAGTCTTTCTCCGTGGGGTGCTCCTGTGTTGTTGGTTAAGAAGAAGGATGGTAGTATGAGGTTGTGCGTAGACTACATGAAGTTGAATAATGTGATTATCAAGAATAAGTATCCACTTCTAAGGATTGATGATTTGATGGATCAATTGGTAGGTGCTCGTGTGTTATGTAAGATTAACTTGAGGTCTAGTTACCATCACATTTGTGTTAAACCTGATTATTCTGAACACAGCTTTCCGGATGATGTATGGTCACTATGAATACACTGTGATGTTGTTTGGGGTGTCGAATACTCTAGGCGTGTTCATGGAGTATATTAAGAGAATATTTCATAAGTATTTAGATAAGTTTGTGGTTCTGCCTAATCCGAGTGAATATTTTGTGGTATATTGTAATGCGTAAAAGATAGGTTTTCGGGGTATGTTGATGTACAATGGTCAGGTTGTTGCTTATGACTCTAGACAACTGAAAGTTCATGAAAGAAATTATTCTATGCATGACTTAGAGTTGGTAGTTGTGGTATTTGTGTTGAAGATTTGAAGACATTATCTTTTTTACTCTAAGTTTGAGGTATTCGGTGATCATAAGAGTCTAAAGTACTTGTTCGATCAGAAAGAGTTGAATATGAGGAAAAGGAGGTGGCTTGAACTTCTGAAAGATTATGATTTTAATTTAAGTTACCATCGAGGTAAAGCAAATATGAAGGTCGATGCTTTGAGTAAAAAGTCCTTGCATATGTCGATGCTTATGGTAAGAGAGTTGGAATTGATCAAGAAATTTAGAGACATCAGTTTAGTGTGTGAAGAGACTCTGAACAGTATAAAGTTGGGGATGTTAAAGTTGACTAGTAGTATCCTTGACGAGATCAGAGAAGTTCAAAAATATGATTTGAGGTTGGTTTATCAGTTGACATTGATTGGCCAAGGTAATGGAGGTCAGTTCCGAGTGGATGAGAACAGTGTGATGAGGTTTGGTGATAGAGTGTGTGTCTGGTGTGCCAGAGCTTAAGGAGATTATTATTGAGGAAGGACATCAAAACGGTCTAAGTATTCATCACGGTGCTACAAATATGTATCAAGACTTGAAGAAATTATTTTGGTGGTCTGATATGAAAAAGGAAGTTGTTGAATTTTTTTTTTGCTTGTTTGACTTGTCAGAAGTCGAAGATTGAGCCCCAGAAGCCTTTGGGCTGATGCAACTGTTGAATATTCCGGAGTGGAAATGGGATAACATTTCCATGGATTTTGTGTCAGGTTTGCCGAAGACTGCTAATGGAAATAATTCGATTTAGGTGATAGTGGATAGATTGACTAAGTCAGATTATTTCTTACCGATGAAGATCAATCATCCCTTGTAGAAGTTAGTTGAGATGTATATCGAAGAGATTGTGAGGTTACATGGAACACCTTTGAGTATTATTTTGGATAGAGACCTGATGTTTACGTCAAAGTTCTGGGAAGGGTTACAGAAGGATTTTGGTACTAAGTTGAAGTTGAGTTCTGTTTACCATCCACAGACGGACTGCCAGATATAGAGGACTATCCGGTCTTTAGAGAATTTGCTGAGGACTTGTGTGTTGAAACAAAAAGGTGTTTGGGACAACCACTTGTCATTGATTGAGTTTACTTATAATAATAGTTTATATTCTAGTATTGGGATGACGCCATATGAGGCATTGTATGACAGAAGATGTAGGATTCTATTGTGTTGGTATGAGTCAGACGAGAGTGTTGTACTCGGACCTAAGATTGTGCAGGAGACGATTGAGAAGATCAAGATGATCCAAAAAATGATGAAAACCTCAAAGTCGTCAGAAGAGTTATCATAATAAGAGAAGAAATACACTTGAGTTCCAAATGGAAGACCATGTATTCTTGAGAGTTACTTCGATAACTGGTGTTAGTATAGGACATATCTAATAAGAATAGGTAAGTTATATGAGAATGTGAGAATGAATAAAAACTATCAAATTTAATGATAGAAGACTGAGATTAAATTTTGATTTTCACTAAATAATATATTATTAAGAAAAAAGAAAAATCATTAATCAAATTTTAAAAATATCTTTTAATCTCAATCAATAATAAATTCAATAATTATTATTAAATTCTCACATTTTTCATATATATATATATATATATATATATATATATATATATATATATATATATATATATATATATATATATATATATATATATATATATATATCACTAATCCTCATTTGATAACAAAGTTCATCAATTGTATATTTATTTGACAGGCACAATTCCGGGTCTTGCAAAGTCTAAATTAAATACAAATGTTGTTTTAAGATGAATTGATAAAAGTGAATGTCACTACAAGAAATGGACAATCATTTCCATTCCCTCTACGAAACGAATTCTCCAAGTGAGCTAGGTGACTCAACATTAATAATTTAGTATGATTAAATTGAATGATGATAAAAAACAATAAATAAATATACATACTGATATCGTTGACCAGTCAAAGGAATAATAATAGCGGCGTTTTAATTCTAACATAACAACACGTATGGGTTAGGTTGGTTTGAACATAACATACATTTGACTCTATCTTTGACTTTAATAAATATAATGTCAGAGAAGCATCTCATTCATTCTGAAACCACAAAAATCGAATCAAAACACTAGTATAAAACTAATTTTAATTTCAATAGTACAACATTACTTACTACAACTACTAGTAATACTTAACAAGATGGTAAAGATGATGAAGAAGAACTAGAAGAAGATGATTCAAATTTGTAGTACTTGTCAACAGCGACAGAAACATCCCAAGTACAACTCAGTCCTTTTGGAATTGTCACTAAATCTCCAGCTCCAAACTCTACAAAATCCGATGAGCCTTTTGTGTATGCTTTCACTTTTCCTTTCAATAAATAACATGTTTCTTCTGCATCAAATTTCAACTGATACTTTCCTGGTGAACAACCCCATCTTTTCATTTTCACACCCCCATTACAAACAAAAAAAGAGTTTAATATTATGTTATAATAAATATACAGAAATGAAACAAAAAAAAGTGGTCAGAAATAATGCTTACTTGGGCCAACACTTGATGTTTAATTCAGCTAAACGTGACTGAGTTGGATTTCTTTCAATGGTGATTCTAAGATTTGAATTAGAATCTGAAGCCATGGAAGATAAGAATGAAGAAAAATGAGTTTGTTTGTTACATGCAACAGTGTGGATAGAAAAAGAAGGAATCTTTTTGTGTTATTATTATGAGAGAGGGACCAGAATTTATAAGACCTTTGACAAAATTAATTACAGTTTACCTATCACATCATGCCACGTAATCACCACAATATTTTCAAATATTCTAGAGTATATGAATATTTTTTTTAATTTAATATGTATATTTTTGGTGAATAATTTTATTAGTTTAAAAAAAACTCAGATAATTGACTCTATTTTTTTTTATTGAAATGACAATGACCAACTATATTTTATTAATTATTGCACATTTTTAGATAATTACATTATCCAGATAAATAGCACAATCTCTGAATCAGTCAAAAAAGCAACACTATTCAACTGTAGACAAAGTGTTTGTGTACTTTTTTTTTGTATATACTGTTCAGATAGAGACAAATCAATATACAATTGGCACGTTGCATGTGAGTGGCACTATCGAATGCATAAGTTAGTATCATTTAATCATCAAATGATAAAAAAAATTATTCAAACAAATAGACTTACACCAAAAAGTCTAAGCTCCTCCCTAATTACATCTCATATTAAATTATGAGATAATTAGTAGAATATTCGTGCGTGTGTATTAATTTAAATTAAATTAAATATATTAGACAGATTTTATAATTATTTTTAAATTAAAATATTTTTCATATAAAATCAATAATAAAAATAAATAAAAAAAAATAAAATGTTACCATTTTTATACTACATAAAAAAACAATAAATATATTTGAATAGTTAATTTAAAAAAATAAATACGAATTATATTAAATGGTTGGTTAGTTTTAAAAAAATAATAAAGAAAATACATTTATATCATTTTGATAGATCAAATTTTAGAGAAACATAAATATCTGAAAATAAAAGTAAGACGGTTTATTTTAGTAGATTAAGTATTTTGAGAATATATAATAGAGAAGAAGAAAATCCGTGCGTCCGCACGGATTCAGGCGAAAACTGCATAATTGTTATCAATTTATTATGAAAATTCAAACAAATTAAAGAATATTAAAATATTTTTGAAAAACAAAAAAAAGACAGAAAGATAATTGTATAAGTTTTAAAAATCAATATATTTAATAAAAAGTATTAAACACATGGTTTACAAAAATAATTGTGAAAAATAAAAATAAAAATACTTTTTTAAGGTTGATAGAGTTGTAATGGATTTATAAAGTTAAATAAATAAGACAAATAAATATCTAAAATTGGAATGAGTTGAATATTAATACAAAATTAATTTTACATGACTGATGTGTTATTTGTGCGTTCACACTGATCTTAGAATGGTTATTCGTGCGTTCATACGATACTGATGTGTTATATGTGCGTTCACATTGTACTAGTGTATTACCTGTGTGTTCGCACAGATAATGGTATGGATCGCAGATATATCACCAGTTAGACTATTAATTTCAAATAAAATATAAAATATAATTGTAAAAAAAGAAGAAAACAAAGTAATCAAAGATAAATATATAAGTTAATTAAATCAATTATTGTTAAGATAAAATATTAAACACTCATTTAAAAAAATAATTGTGCAAATTAGATAAAAATGAAATATATTTCTCAATAGCACGAGTACTAATGTGTTACCCGTGCGTCCACACAGATTTTGGTCTGGTTACTCGTGGATTCACACGGTACTAATTTGTTACTCGTGCGTTCACACAGATTTTGACTTAGTTACTCGTGCGTTCACACGGTATTAATATGTTACTCGTGTGTTCACACTGTAGTGGTGTGGTACGCTATAATGTCACCATTTTTCACGATTATTGAAGAAAAAGAGTTAATTGAGTACATAATTAATGGATAAATATTTTAATTAGTAGTTTCATGTTCTTGTTAATATTCAATATTTCGAACGGTAGTTTTATATTTTCGTTAAAATTCAATATTTGATCAATAATTTTATGAAAATGTTTTATATAAATTATTTATATGAAAATGTTCCTTTAACAGCATATATCAAGAAATGTTTTTCATTCTAAAACAATAAAACATCATAACTACGTTGACATGATCAATTATAAAATGATTCAAATATATATTTCCTTAACACAGACAGGTCTATAATCCCTCAAGTTGCAAGTTTAAAAGCTAATATATTAAAATTAAGTTACTAAAATTTCTCCTTAATATTAATATAATAAAGACATAGTAAAGTAATAGCATCAAAAGTTAATTTCTCCTTAATTAAGAAACTTGTCAACTTTGAAAAGCATCAAAAGCCTTTTGTTTTAGAGTGCTTTTTGTTATAGATAAGTCTCAATTAGTCTTCATGTATCCATATATTGCATTTGAGATATCATGGCTTATGCAGATGACCAAAACGCAGAGAATTATGCAGAAACATTGGACCAGAGTCTTATAAGATATGGTAGTCTTTGTATATTAGTTAATTATAAAGAAAGCATAGTACTCGGCTTGCATGAAAGAAATTCTAGGGTCCTTCTTAGCATTCACATCCAAAACAATATTCTACATTCTTTCATAATCAACAACTTGAAAGCTAGTAAACCATATGTCAGTAGGTTCCTTCTTAGCACTCACATCCACTTTGAAAGTTGCACCACATACCTAGAACAGAAAGATGGTTTTATGGCAGAACAATTTCCTCCTCCTTCCTCACTACTAAACACAGTCTCAGTAAGTTTGTCAATTTGGGGCGAGCCTGTCAACAAATCAACATTCATATCCTTAACACGAGAGTTAGTCAATAAATCAGAATTCATATCCTTAACACGAGGAGGATGTGTTTCAGCAGCAACAGTCTACTATTCAGCAGCAGAATTCATAAATCAGAATTCATATCCTTAACATTGTGCTTTTCTGAATTTGAAATTGTAGGTTTGGTATCGAAGAGCTTTTTTAGGTTGAACTCTCTTCGCTGCATGTGACAAGCAGTGTGTTCAGTTTTATCACACAAACTTTGGAACATCTTTTATCAGGCTGCCAGATCAAAGTCATAAAACACACAAACAATCACAAATCATTTTTTAAGGGAAGTTCGATTAAGATTCAGAAGTTAAATGCTACATAGGACAAATGCAAATTGCAACCAAATCAGTACCAAGCTCATAACCATAGCCTTACCATCCACCCTGAAAATGGCATTGCATCTGTACTTTGTACATCAGTTCCAACTCAAGCATCCTCATAGCGTTGCATATGTACTTTGTACATCAGTTCCAACTCAAACTTTCCACAGGCGCAGAATGTATTCAACAGTTATGAATGCAGAGAAAACCAGTACAAATTTGAACAAAACCAGTACAAAAACGATGTTGAGAATGCAGAGAAAACCAGTACAAAAATTAAACAGTTAGCAGCCAAATTACCAAATCGACAAAGACGATGTTGAGAATGCAGAGAAAGGTCACTTTGTAAGGAAGTTCTCAGCTTTCCCCTAGTTGTTTCATGAAAGCCAAGTTCTTTTTCAATACCACAAAGTTTACGTACTTTCTATCGGCCAATCTGGTTTAAAACTCCCATCACTGATACCGCCAGCAGTGTTGTCAATAAGCATGCAAGACAAAAGGAACAGAACTGATCAACATATTGTAAATAGATAATTAGCAGAAGTCCGACAAATCAATACATACCTTGTGCTTGTTTTTACTTCAGCCAACTCCATCTATTTCAAGAGAAAGTTGATTTGTATTTGTAAACTGCTCCTTCACACTTCTAGAATTGACAGGATCATGATTTATAGCTGAATCCATAAGACCAAGCATAACATATATATCATCACATTTTCAATTTTATGGGCATAAAATTCTTTGACAAATCAAAAAAAGAATTACCTTTAAGGACCTAAAATCAGCAATTCCATTGGCATAATCATAAATGTTATTGGCAAAGGGATCATAAAATAATCTGCTTCCAGAATCAGAAAGTACTCCCTGTTGAAAAGACAATGCAGTCTGTCAAACAACCCAAAAGTTCAATCAAATCTCAACTAAATATGACCAATGCCCTTAACATGGATTTCTCAAGAATGGTTGTATACAATGATGACTTAAATATTTACTCCCAAAGAGTCTCAAAAAAATGCTGAATTAGACCCTGTACAAAATCAAATTAGCACGAAACAATATTTGGCTGACGGTAAATCGACACCTTACTTAAAACATTGTCCTCCAATATTATCATAATTAGAAATAAGAGGGTAATAAATGTAAAAAGAAATCATTCCACATACCATAGGCAGAAGCTCCATAGTGTTTTTCATACCTTTAACAACCGTTGCATTTGCGTTTACTTTGGCATCATATAAACACTTTGTTATGTCAAAGATAACAACAACTTCTCCATTCTCCACCATAGGTAAATGTCCAAATCTGAAATGATATAACTAAAGTATAATTTGAATTCAACACATTCATTCGACTCCAGCTTTGTCCTGTATACTGTAGGACTTTTATGATAGACCAGCCATAACTCCTGCAGTTAAAAAAAATATGTTAATAAACTTTAAACAAATGAAGAAAACCCCTGCAAATATATCAAAGTTATTCCATTGATAAAATTAATATTGAACACTTAATCCATTGTTCGAAAACCATTGCTCATCCTCGCTATCTATGTCATACAGAAATCATCATTTGATAATATATAGAGCTAAAAACAAAAGTTACTTCAGATCCATTATATATAGAGCTAAGAACAAGAGTTACCCCAGATCCATTATCATCATTTTCTGTTTCAACCTGTTGGTAATATATAGAGCTAAGAACAAAATTTACCTCAGATCCATTATCATCATTTTCTTCGCAAAACCCTAAAATATAACAAAAATCATAATGTTAGAGAAAGTTTGTGCCAATACCTAGTTTGCAGCACTATTTTCGTAAAAAAAAGGTTATCTTCCCAAGTCGTATTTTGATCCTGCAGACAGAGCGAAGAGGAAAGAAAGAAGAGGAAGAGGAAGAGATGGAAGAGATCAGAAAGAAGATGAAGAGAGAGATGATGTTTGCGAAGAGAGGAAATATATTGTCAAAGTTTGAAAAAAAAGATAGTGAAGATTTAGAGGAGATTTCTTTAGGGAGGTGTGATAGGGGAGTTTAAAATTTTTTGGGTTAAGTGTGAGGATGTTTGTAAGCCTAAGGAGTTACGAGGTCTCGGTGTCCCTAATTTTCGGTTGGTTAACTTGTTCTTGTTAGAAAAGTGGAGGCGGTGTCTGCTTTCGGGGGCTTCTGATATTTGGTGTGATATCCTCACTTCTAGATATGGTGTAGCCACTACCTCTTTAATCCATGATGAGAGAGCTGGTTATCTTAGATCGACATCGCCTTGGTGAATAGGAGTCTGTCTTCTTGGATCTAGAGTTGGTGACACTTTCGACTGGTTCATGGGTAGGATTTCTCTGAAAGTTGGCTCTGGTCTCCTAAACTTCCTTCTGGGAGGATATTTTGGTTGGGGACTCTCCTCTTTGTCTTATATTCCCTAAATTTTTTCTATTTCTGACCATACTAATAATTATGTGGGGGAGATTGGTAGATGGGAGTGAGTGAGTTGGACTTGAGATCTCAAATAGAGAAGACCTTTTCTCTTTGATTATGAGTTGATCATTTTTACTGATTTCTAATTTGTGATTAATGGCTTCACCCCACTGTTGAGAGGGATATGTGGAGGTGGCGTGAGTTGAGTGATGGGGTTTATTCTAGATCTTCTGCTTACTCCTATCTTCTGGCACGAGTGTTCCCCCTAGGTTGTCTTGTCCCTACTGTTGATTTAGTTCATCCGGTCATTTGGTGTAGTTGGGCTTCTTCCAAATTTATAGTGTTCTCTTGGCAGCTTCTTCAAGACCGTATTCCTACCAGAGTTAATTTACTTAAGAGGATTGTCTCGCTGACCTCTAGGACTTTTTCTTGTCCCTTTTGCTCATTGTACATGGAGTCATCCTCCCTCCTCTTTGTGACATGTGAGATTGTTTTCTCTGTTTGGTATACGATATTTAGGTGGTTAAGGTGGTGTACTGTTTTTCCTAGTGATATTTTGACTCTTTTTCAGATGTTTATCTCCTCGTCTGGTGTTGCTAGGACTAGGGGGTTCGGGATGGTTTGGCATGTCGTGGTTTGATCAATTTGAAAATCTCTGAATGAATTAGTTTTTTCTGGATCTTCGGTGACACCAAAAGACATGGAAGACATGAGCCTCTTCTTGGCTTGAAAATGGTATCTTGGTAGGTCAGTGGATAACTCATGTGTCTTCTCGGCCTGGATGAAGAACCCTATCATGTTTATAAACTAATGGGGGGTGAGTGGTTTCGACTTCTACGGGATGTTTTCTTGTTGGTTTCTTTTGTGGCTTCAGTGTTCCTTCAAGTATCCTTGTATTGGATAGTTCTAGCCTTATCCAATGTTGGTTTTTCTGGTTGTTTATTTTGTAGCCCTGTTTTGAACTTGGACGGGGTTGTTTTTAGCTAGCTGATTTTTTCTTTGTTCTTGTTGGCGTTGATCCCGTTTTAGTACTTCTTGTGCTTTTCTCGAGATTCATGTACTTTGGTCGTAGTGCATCCCCTTTACTTATTTATATATTTTTGTTTTCCTTCAAAAAAATATAGAATTACAATCAATGCATTATAAAACAAATCAACAATAAAAACTATCAAGTTTAGTCAATTAATGAGAATTTATTGCAAATAATTTACTTGTCTATATGATGAAATTATTGTTAATCTACATAGTCAATTATGAATAAATTCAATTATTGAATCATAGTTGAGTCTAAAATTATGGTTTTTTAAATTAAATTTAGAATTAAATATCTTTTTAGTTCTTACAAAATGTATAATTTTTAATTTAGTGTCTAAATTTAAAAGAATTATTTAGTCCTTATTTGCATCTATAGAGATTACATAGTAGAACTAAAAACACTTGTTTTTTTTTATAAATTATAATAAAATTTATGAATTAAAATTTTTATTTAATATATAAGTTTTTCTTTAAATATTTATAATTTTTCATTCCATTTTTTATGTTTGTCCTTTCGTAGAAATTACTCACATGATAAACTTAACTGATGAGTTTTATTTATTTATAAAAAAATATAATTTCATAGGAGAAATATTTATTGCTTGATGTATTTTTCTAAATTAGAAAATTTGATTTTTTTTAAAAATACTATTTTTCCTTTTACCATTGAATATTATGAATCAATATGTTTGACTAATATGACTTTTGATTTCAGACAACATCATAATCAATGTCGTTTAATTGGCATATGCTCAGTAAATTATGAATTTGTCCTTAAATTATAAGCACATCATTGATTGAGAGTAAAGAAACATTATCTATTATGGTGGATCCTATGACCCCAACTTTCTCATTTCCTCTAAAATCCATATCGTCTTTTTTCCTTCATCTTGAGATTTTGGAACATATGTCTTTCTCTCATTATTTATTGTGAGCATCCATTTCCTAGGTACCACAACTGGTATTTTAACTCGGTTGCTAAAGATATCTCATCTTCATCATCATCATCGTAGATTGTGTCGTGAAGTTGCACTTCATATGATGTTGAGGCCATTAGTGCAACATTGGCATGTTCATCTTCCTTATTAGAGGATTCATATTATTGATATCATTTGTATATGAGATCTTTCTTCTTTTCTCAAAATCCATTCTTCTTATATTTCTATTTCTCCATCTTGAGACATTCATTTCTAAAGTGCCCATGCTTTTTGCATTCATATAAATGATCTTCTTGTCATCTTTTTCCTTGTCTCTTGGATCCTTGGAATACTTAAATTTCCTGTTGGGAAATTGATTTTTACTTATGGCCCATAAACATTTTACTTGTCTAGATACACAGAAAAATCATCATCTACTAATGCATCTTTAGGATCTTTATCTTCTAATTCTTCATCTTGTATAATTTTGATCTTCTTTATTTTAGACTTCAAAGCAATAAATAAGTTTCCTATGAGATTCATCTTTGTCAATATCTATATCATGAATACATAGGAAATTAATGAGTTTTTCAAGAGGAGATACATTTATATAATTTGCTTCTTCAATATTTTTTACCTTTGGTTTTCATTTATTTCACAGATTTCTAAGAATTTTCTTAACTTGATCAACAATAGTATAACTATAGTTCAACACTTTGATCTATATATAAAAGTTTGAAATCTAGAAAACATGGTCTCCACGTTTTCATCTTTTATCATTTTGCTCAAATCACACTTCTTTGGATTATTTCACTTGCGGGTTCCTTTAATGGCCCAGACACAGTGAATATAAAATAATCTTTGTTAATTCAATGTTGAAAATTATATCCTTTTCCTTGAAGGAATTGACATTTATAGGAAAACTTTTGGCTTTGTGACACAACCTGTAGGTTTTCTTTTGAGCATCATCCAGGTAGAAAAAACCAATATTTTTCCTTTGACATTTTTGGATGTTCATATACGTCTCACAATAACTTATATAGTTCTAAATCTTGGAAGATAAAAAAAAAGCTAAAACTTATATTTTCAGTATTAAAATATTTCTCCCTCAAACATAGAAGGTTGATTGAGTAAGAAGTGTTGATTCCTTTATTGTTATCATTTGTATGACCAATTTTGTTTTTCTCAAAGATATATTACTCTTACATTGGTGTGTTTAAATAAGAGACCAGAACTCTGACGCCAATTGGAAGTGAGAAAAATACAAGAAAAAGAGGTTTAAATTGTGTTGGTCGATTTTAAACATTTTTGGTTAGTTTAAAATGAAAGTCAAGTTAATCATAAGTGTTGAATGATATAGATATAAATGAAGGAGATTAAACATACAAAGCTTATATTGGTTCACCTTTTTAACTCAGTGATATATCCAGTCCTCTGATATTGAGATATTTTGACTATAATCATACATACTACAAGATCACTAAGATATTTCTTGGTCCAACTGATCAATATCTTAGATTTCTCAAATAGAAAAAATTTATTCAAATTGAATCTCTTTGTTGCCTCAAAGAATCTAGTTTACACTTAACCCTTTGAATAATACGATAATATAAATGGATAAATGATGGAGTGTTTACAAATATCACTCAACATAGGATGTAAGCAAATCTAAGTATAAATACAAGTGTTTTGATCTTTCAATAGAAAACATATACAATAAAATCACTTTCTTGCTTATTTATTTTCTCAATTTAATTTTAAAATGTTTATTCACAATATGTTTCTTGATTTGGTGAGATGTTGGATAATAAAAAAATTGAGAAGTTTCAATTTTATATAGCTTCTTTTTATTATCGTAAAAAATAACAAACGTTAAACTATAAATTTTTCTTACATTTTCTTATCGTCAAAATATATCAAGAAGCATTATTCTTTAAACTATTCTTAGATCAACATAATATGTCACTGTGATACGGTGGGAGAACTGACTAGAGGTTTGCGTTTGTATTCGCACTTGTTCGGTTGAGCAAGAGTCGCCACCGACTTTTTATTTTATCCTAAAGGAAAGGTTAAAAAGCACAGCAAAAACCTTTTGAGATATTTCGTGGGTTCGGGGGATAGATTATGAAAAGGGAAGGTATTAGCACCCTTTTCATCCATGGTTATCCATGGGCTCTTAGTTACTTGGTTTTTAGATCACTTGCCTTGATTTTCGATTGCTTGAAATTGTGGTGTGTGTGTGTGTGTGTTTTGAAAATGTTTTTGAAGAGATGCCTTGTGTGATACGGTGGGAGAACTGACTATGGTTTTGCGTTTGTTTTCGCAAATGTTTCGGTTGAGCAAGAGTCGCCACCGACTTTTTATTTTATCCTAAGGAAAGGTTTAAAAAGC